CAAACAATATCGAAGATGCTGGAATCAACTTCAAAGACGTTCTTACACTAACATAAAGAAACGTCCATGTCAAAAAATACGAACAACACTTACAATTGCTCCCTCCAAAGAAGGAAGTAGAGAAAGTGAGAAAGGTATCATTGGCATAAGCTAGTAATATATTGACGGTCTTTTGTTATACATGCAACAAGAAACTACTATAGCGAGGGACTTTTATTCACAACAAGGTGGAAAATGCAACAAGAGGTGGTAAATATGAAATTGAATTGCAAGTTGCGCAAGAGAGTTCTTGGAAATATTATGAAAAAAAGCTAAACAACAAAATTTTCGACACTTGGTATGCATGAGTTTTTTTGACATTAGCACGTATTTCATTTGCATTTGCGTAGCAAGTCTCTCCGACAGGTAATTGTTTGACACTTACTAAGTGTCAAAAAAGGAATAGTTTGGCGCTTTTTGTGAAGTTAAATTTAGACTGTGCCAAGTTATCATACCAATTTAGGTAATTAGAGTGATCGTGCGTTTACCACGTACCAATATTCAACCAAGTTTTATAACAAACAAGTATTAACATTCACGTTTCAACAATAATGAGAATTCGGTTTCGTAAAGCACCCGTTGATTATGATGTTTTTATTAAAGGACAATATATATTAAGGGTAATAATAAGGGTAAGCACATTATAAACTGACAATTCTAAAAATAAAATAATCTCTATTATCTATGTGGGATTATTCCAATTACATTCTATCAACAACGGTAATCGCAGCAAAAGAAAGAAGTAAGAGGATTAAAGGGGGGGGGGGACAGGGGAAAAAAAAGCAAGGAAATGGTTCCAGAATACAAACATTAATTACCCAATGCTTTGTTCAACTAAAGCTGTGGCACAGGCCACAAGCTTAGGTCTATCATTCTCCTCATCAGCTTCTCTCCGAACCTTAACGACGAAATTATATTGATCGTACTCGGCTACCACGTCCGATACTTTAGCAGTTCCTGTAACGGTAAAGCTGGTCGAATCCGGAGAAAGAGGAACGGGAGCCCCCTTGTAAGAAGGGGTAATGGGGCTTCCTTCAAGGTTGATATAACTAAAACTCCATTTATATTGCGCAGATTTATCTGGAACATCTCCTGAAATGGTAACGGTTTCGTCTTGACCAGGTACAGGTACAAATGCTTGTACGGTAAGTATTGGAATTGTATCATGACATTTCTTCCAAGTAAGACGGTGCACTACTGGACTTGGCATAGCGTTGAGCGTGGAAAGCATAGCCAACAAGATGAGTGCAGCAATAATTTTTCGAACCATTTTTGTCTTTTCTTTTGGTGTGTAGATAGTTAGGTAGAGTTTTGTTAGAGTTTTGTTAGGAAGGAAAGTCTTCTTTTTTGTTTTTCAGTGGAATGATTTGAGACTCAGTTTGACGTTTTCTTTATATAAGAGTAGACCCGTCTATCTGAAAATTTCAACACATGGTTTGACCGTGTTGTAACATTCTTATCCTGTACATGTGATAACTATAAAAGTCATTTGTGTGACAATAATGATCGATACGAGGGTCTTGGAATCATATAAACTTTCAAACTTACGATACAAAAATGGGTTTCTTTATAACTCCTCGTTCTTATTGTTCAATTCAATTGAAATTAACGTTACCAAAAAGGCGAGAGAGAGGCGAGAAAAGGAAACACAAAGGCATAATTTATTTTAGGTTTGAAATAGTGTTTTCACAGGCACGAGGACTTCTTTTTCCAAACTAGTCCGTTATGATTGTTGCTATTATGTGCTCCATTGTGTGATGAAGAACGTTCCTTTTTTCTGTAAATTCAGCTCATGTAGAGAATTCTTTCACGAGAAATGCCGACTTCGTTGGCTAACTCTTTAATAGAAATGTGCGGGTATTGCTAAATAAAGAACACGATAAAATCAAAACGAGCTAAAACCATTAATGGTTTAGAGATAATAGACAAGGTGCTTCATTCACTTTTTCATGGTGCTTTAAAGATATTGAACATACAGTTTGCCATGCGCATATACTTTTTTGTCATTAACAACTCTTCAATAACGAACCAAATCAAGTGGGACTGATAATTCGGACCTAAAATGGGATAAACCGTTAATAACTATCGCGAGGAACTTCTATTCACAATGAGGTGCTGATAAACCGTTAATAACGCACTTACGTTTAAACTAATCTTGTTCAAGTCTTAAATACCATGAATCGATTTTCCGTGACATATATGGACCCAATTTTGCATCCTTATCCAATAGAAGAATCATATTTAGTAATCAAAACACATTTCTTCAATCGACATGTTTACACTAACTTATTTAAACTTTTTTTTTTCATAATGGTTATAGTTTCGCTAGCATCTTTGCATCCAATCGGAGAACCAACACTAGCATATGCAAGCTGCTCAAAATTGCGTCGTCGCACAATAGACTAACGTATTTAGTAACTCAAAGCATATTTTCACCGCACCAATAGTATATAGTCCATGCAGGAGGAACCCGTACCCTATATAAGGAAATGATAACACAATTCATTTTCAAGGGCCCAATCTAAGAGAAACGCACATTGTAATTCTAAACAAACTTAATGTTTTCGCACTATTTAACACAGTTATTCACTGAATCCATTTGACTCCATTGACCTTCAATCTCATAACGTAGGACATTTTGATCAAAAAGCAGCGATAGAACTAAATTTTTTATGTCCTTGCAATTTGCGTAATATGGTTTAATCGTTTATTTGGGGAAATTGAATAACGATGTAATGTGTGTTTAGTTATTATTAGAATAATAAAGCGCCTACAAACAAACATAAACGTAGCGTACCTGAAATAATGATCGTCAATTAGTAGTCTAACTAGGACTTAATTTTTGGGGGCTTCGCCCCTTTTGTAATCAGTATTAATACTTACCGTATATTAACGCAGCAGATACAGTATGTATTAATAGATGTGTTATGTATGATATGGTATGAGTTATTGTGGTAATGTGCTGGTATTAACTGTAGAATATCAAGGTCGTAGTTTAGAGTAGAACATTGATAATGATAATGGTGATAGGAACGGCCATAGGTTTAGAATACGAAAAAATTTACTGTGGATTTAGCGTGGTATTGAAACATGGAATTATTTATTTATTTATGTATAGAACGTAAGATCTTGTACAGTGAATGGGAAGGCCGCCAATAGATGTTGTTATTTTCGGTAAGAGAATCCTCGTGTAGGGATGGAGGCGTAATAGAATCAGAATTTGCAAATGATGAATCGCCAATATGAAAACTCGTTTCGTTTACATCGAGGAAGAATATGTCAGTAAGTTGAGACATTTTGAAAATTCTTTTATTGTTGTAATGTGTAGTATGTAGGCTGAATATTGAAAGCGTTGAAAGTGGATAATTTTCATCAGGCATATTACATCACGATTTGATCATGTTTAAAAAACTGACTCTATGATAATTCCGTACATAAATAGCGATTCGTTCAGTTATCATTTTTAACGAAACCAATTTTAACGAGTCATACCATGACACAGAGAGTTATCCAAAACGCTGATTTACCTACCTTGCAAGAGTATGAAACCATTATTATAGATTTCGCTGCTGATTCTCCATTGTTCTCTCTTTTACCCGAACCATGTACTAAAGTCCAAGCAACATCAATAAATCCTCAAACACAAGTATCAATATCTGCAATTGTTGAATCACAATACAATACATCTAATCCACCTCATGTTCAATATTGGCGTCCATCATAAAGAAATTACACTTACTTCACGAAGAAGCATATTGCACAGTTTCCTTGTGCTTCGTGTTGTTATTGTGGCCGATTGCTTTATCCGCTTAAAGCTGTGTGGATCCACAGAGAGTCAAACTCACTTTTTCCTTTCGAAGAATTATACCCCAAATGTCGCTCTGCTCAAAAATCCCAAAAGACCCAACACTTATACTTCATGACGAGATTGTCGCAATAAACGATGCCTCAAACTTTATCCAATTCCTCACAAATCCAAATTGTACCTTACGGAAAAGAAAATATCTTTCTCCCTCCATTCAAGTCTCGGACGAGCTGGCACAATGTTTCCCTATTTAGCGAATATCGCTCAATAAGAGGTATTATAAACTACTCTAAAAATTATCGAGCCTTATATCTCTATTCTGGTATGCTAGGTGCATTCCTCGAAATCCACATAGATTTATCTGAAAATCGTTGGTATCATCCTTCATTGCCAGCAGCCTGTGAGTGGTTACAACAACACAACCTTTATCTACGTGCATATCATTCTATTGCCTCTACCTTATACGCACGCCAACGCAGAATCTAATATTCCCGTTTGGCCCATTGCTAATCACACTGACGCAAGTTTTCATACGCCATCAAATACCCGCACTGAAGCTATTTTACCACAATGAGGATTCACACTATACTCGTTTAGCAATTGGATTTCTACTGGATTCGAATAATAAAAAAATACCAATTTCTTTTTCTGATCCCGAATTAGAACCTCTGGTGTTTCCGGAATTATTTGGTCAGGAAGGAGTTGCCCAATCTTTTATAATACGGTTGTTTTTTTTTTTTTTTGCACTATGTTGCTGTCAACATGTTATTGATAAAGATTGTGAGCTTTAAGTCACATTTATACAATTAATAATTACACTTTAATTGTTATAAAATTTATTCAAACTCAAATGAAGGTTTGAATGTCCAACCGTTTATTTCAAAACATTGCACTCAACCAATAAATATATAACCAATAAATAAATGTTTCAATAATAATAATAGATGAGCACTGATTAACACAAACTGAAGGATTTCTTATGACTATGTGTACCTACTGTTGTTTGTCTGCAGTATCTATTTCACGACAGCAAAGCTAACTAACTGTCTCTATACTAACTGTTCGGTTTACAATACATCATTCGACTTAACCAAACACTTATCTCACAAGTTGTATCATTCCAATTGCCTAACATCAGTCACCCCTTGGATAATTGTTACAAGTCACTTTTTTTGTAAAAATTTGGTAAATAAAGCCCAGTCGTCGTTGGCTGGAAGTTCTTGTTATAACTCCAAATTAAATGCAGAGTAAGTGAAGATTGCGCAGTGCAGATAAAAGGACTAATAAAATCTAACACATTGTTAGTTTTTTCATTCTCGAAGAAATAGGTTACCCAATAATCTTTTGTTTCATGTGCCAAAAGGTAGCCTCCTACATTATACGGGTGATCCATCCGGTTTTGATAGATGAAATATCCACTTTTATCAATTATCGGTCCTATTGATTTAATCAACTCTTTGGCATTCTCCAAGATCTTGACTCGTTCATTACCATCTTTAACATCAAGAATCATCGCACCCATGATATCTCGCATCCAGTTCATAGTATACATAAAATGCCTTGTTTGAGGACCAGAGAGTGATCTTGCAATGCGGTGGAAGTCGTCTTTGGAACGATAGTCACAGACGTGATTGCTCCACAAAACTGTGCAGGGCTTGAGTTCTTTTTTTACATAACTTGAGAGCCAATCGCAGTCCGCTTCTATCAAATCAGCTTTGTATAAAAAGATTTTGAGAATAATCTTTGGAGTTTTAACGGCCGAAGTAGAATTATCACCACCATCATTGTTTCCGTTAACATCGCTCTCACAACCTAGCCATTGTTTTACTCTATTAATTTGTCCTTCCAAATATGAATAAACTGCATCGAGCAGCGATGTCGTATTGCAGTCGTACTTTGCAAGAACATGTACCATCGGAATGCCTCTAAGCGCCATCTCGGTATCTTTATGCGGTTCATATCCATCCAGACAAGCAAACATAGTGACACTTCCCAAAAGCTCATTATCATTGAAAGCAAACCGTTTCATATGATCAGTCATCTTCTTTTTCTTGTTGTCAGCTGTTTTAGATAATCCTTTCTTTGCCGCATTGTTGTCAAATCCAGAAAGCAAAGGAAACTCCCCTGTCATAATATGTCTTGCAAGTTCAACACGATCTCTCTCCTCACTCAGATTTTCAACAGCCATATATGGACTAGAGGTAGGAGGACAATGTTTCATCCAATTCTCATGAGCAGTCGTGACTCTCAACCGCGAGTCACGTTTTCTAACCGAAGACCAATATCGAACAATCTTGAAAACCCTATCTTGTGGCTCTGGATTTGGAATCTTTTCAGCTGGATCTGTCCTCCGATTGGCTTCTCGTAGCTGCATCACTGCATCCACTGCTTGCAGGAAATGGTCATACGTCGTTTTTGTCCATACAGTCGAATACCACACCTGAACAATACTAAGCGTAGGAGCATTATTTGCAATCATAGCAACTACGACCTTTGTCTTAGCCACCGCATATTCACTTGCATCAAACCCGATAAGTCTAGTGATTTGTCCTTCTTCCACATTATTTTCACGAACATTAGTCTTAGGCTGAGGCTTATGCTTGTTAGAACCAACACTTATGCTTGTGATAGTGGCTCCGAGTAGTATACTCAAGTCAACAAACCCAATTGCGAAATTGTTCCTTCCTTGTGCATAGATGATATTAAGTTTAGCTTCATTTGCAAAATTTTGTACGACTCTATCAATGCCTTTACATTTCTTTTTGACTCTGTCACGGTAGACGGATCCTTTCCTGAGGTTATGAGAAGATAAAAACCTGGTAAGTTCAAATGAAGCTAGTCCCCATCGCTTCTGAATATTAACGGGATCTGACATTGAAATTGATCCGTCGCCTTTATCCAGAAATTTTTCGTGAACTGCAAGTCTTACTCCAAGTTTCTGTGAGATAGAAAGGGTATTATAACCTGAGGAATCAGTGGGATAGTAGTTTTTGTATTCAGTTGCATAGGAGGTTGTTGACGATGCATTAGAAAAAGGTCCCTCTGGGTCCACTAGCTTCATCAAGTTTGCCAGTATATCTAAATCTGCAAATGACTCTTCCTCCGTTTGTCTTTGACCATGGATAATCATGGCATTATTGTCTTTCTCGCTTGTCTTCTTGGGTGTACATACCATTTTATGGCTTTTCCAGTCTAACTTTTGATGTTCGGCGTTGCAGTAGTAAACTTTATTGCAACGAGCACAACGTTTAGTGGTTGAAGCATTGCAGACGATGCAGGATGTAGTGATATTCTTTGCAGGCGAAGTTGACATTGTATGGGAGTGGAGTAAAGGATGATGATTATGCCAATCACGATGATGATAAAGATGTTAAACATGATGGAGGATCGTCTATCTATTGCTATTTTCAAGTTGAACGCAAATTCAAACCCTGGGGTGATTGTGTTTGTTTCAACTACAGGAATTTACCTGCCAGGTTGCACAGCCCGACAGTCGTACAGCCCATAATATTCCTATTTATGGAAGAGTGGGCATCTGAGCGTCCAATGAAAGGTCTGTACAACTTGGCAGGTTGTGTGACCTGGCAGGTAAATTCTCGAGTTCTACCTCAGTTATATCCCCCAACCTCAGCTATATCCCAGCTTTGATGCTAGACGGATTTCCCTTATTTTAATTCCATATAAATCTACCTCAGTTATATCTCACTCGGATATATCCTATCCCCAATCCCAATTTCCCAATCCTATCCTTAGCAATCCATTATGAACATAACCTGGTATCCTCTTAATTATATTATTACACAATAAATCATATCATCTCTATATATGAATATTTGTGTTAGAATATGTCGATTATTTGCTTCATTTGGTTAGTCACAATTCTCAGCAAATCAAGTCACTGATTCAACGTCGAGACATAAATCAGGCCGCATAATAAAATCAGGCCGTAAATCAGGTCATACATTAAGTCAGAAAATAAATAAAAGACAGCAATTTTCAAGTGAAAAAAATCAATTTACCAATTGTCAGTCTTATTAGTATTAAACCATTACTTATCGAAGAAATTCTTCTGAAGCGACAGTCAAGAAATTTTTAAAACAAAGAGAATTTGCAACAGAAATAATATTATATACATGCGCAATATAATTCGGCGCTTAGATGAATCAGTAGAAAGGTCGAAACATCAAACGTAATCACTGATAGAATTTATTAACCAACTAGATTTAGAATTTTATAGGAGGCTTCGCCCTTTGTGGCTGTTAAGAAGTGTCACTTGCAAATACTTTTAATTTTATACAGTAATAAAGTTATATATATTTATTGGGATGCTGAAGTCCACATGTTTGATTTCTATTACCTAATCGTCGCGGGCTCGTTATCTCAAATTGCATTCATTGCCCTAGATATTACCTTTTCGAGAAGGAGCATACATAATAATAAAAAATAATGTGACTTTTCTGAATCGGCGTAAATAACCGTACTAACCAAATTAGGTTTGAATGTCTGATATCCATAAATAACGCAGACAATTGTGCGCGGCATTTTTTTCTCTTTTAACAATACTCCAGAGATTTTCTATCGGATTTAAGTCACAACAGTTAGAAATCCCAGTCTATAACATATCTGAAGAAAGCTTAACGTGTTTGGGTCATTGTCTCGTCTCTAAACCGCTATTCATCTCTTCAAAGTGTCTCTGGAGTACGTCTGTAAATGCTGCGTCTAATCAAGTACGTTTGGCATTAAAAATATGCACGATTACGATTGAATGTTACAGCAAATACGCCATTTTTTTGTCCCACATGCCACAGTGAAAAGTCGATTCAACGGTCTTTCTGTAATGTTATTAAGACAATGCGGGTTCATTTACTTACATCACTTTTCTGACAAAAATCTTCTTTGTTTATTATTAAAATGATAGGAGACTATAACTGGTCGACATAATGTTAGGCTTCGCAATAAGAGCAGGGCTGTCCAATTGAATCTTATTCTTGTACTATTTGTGTATAACAGACTCTGCTATATTATTAAAGGGAATTCGTTACACGAATCGTTTTTATCGATCAAAGCTGATACAATGCCTTTAAAAGCTAATACTAATTAGAATATGTGTCGGGCAAATTAGTCCGGATTTTTTATATAAAAAATTCGCTAATTATATTGCATAGTAAAATTACATTTTAAAAAACCACCGCACAAATCCATTTCAACATCCACTACCAATATATCAATATATCAAAAATGCCTGCTGCGAAGAAATTAGAAATGCTAGCCGATCTGACCGACGCCCTCGAATCAAGAAACAAGGGAGCTGAATTTCTTATGAATGGTTCTTACGAAGAGGCTCTGGAATGCCTGGGAAAGTCTTTGGAAACCGAGCCTCAAAATATATTAACGCACAAGTTAATAGCGGATGCTTATGGGCATACTTGTGCCTCGAATAACCCTCACGGGAAGGCGAATATGTTAAACCTAAAGGGGGAGTTTTATTGCAAGTTCAAACAGTACCACAAAGCGTTAGACTGTTTGAATGAGTCATTTGCCATGATTTCTGAGAGTGAAACTGCTCTTAGAATAAGAGGGACAATTTTTTTCTTTCTTAAGATGTATGATAGCGCGATAAATGATCTTAATAGGGCATTAGGCATCAAATCTAATAATGCAATTGCACTAAGAGTAAGGGGGGAAATTTTCCTCGAACTTAAACAATATAATAATGCCCTAAACGATCTCAATGCATCATTAGACATTAACTCTAGTGATGCAAGCGCACAAAGAGCCAGAGGAGTAGTATTATACAATTTCAAATTGTATAATGATGCATTAAACGACCTCAATGCATCATTAAATATTGAGCCAAACGATGTTATGGCATTACGAGTTAGATCGGCTCTCTTTTGCCATATTGAACAATATTATAGTGCTTTGAATGACCTTAAAAGCATATTAGACATCGCGCCAGACGATATAATTGCACTAAGAATAAAGGGTACTATACACTATACCCTTGGCGAATACGATAGTGCATTAATCGATCTGGATAAGTCATTAGAGGTTGAGCCAAACAATACAATTCTGAAAATTAGAGGAAGAGTACTTCTCTGTCTCGAAAAGTACGATAGTGCGTTAATTGATTTTGCTAAATCTAAATCATCGACAGAAGAAACAACTTTGACTGCAGCTTTAGGATTCAATTTCTCCTTCTTTACTTCCTTGGATCTTCAGTATAGTCAAGTTACGGATACGGGAGCAACAGCTTTGGCAAGAGCTTTACAATTAGATTCCTCACTGACTTTTTTGGATCTTCAACACAATCATATCGGAGATACAGGAGCAACAGCTTTGGCAGAAGCAATAGCATCAATTTCTTCTCTGGCATCTTTGGATCTCACCGCAAATCAAATTGGAGATGCAGGAGCTACAGCATTAGCAAGAGCTTTGCAATTAAATTCCTCCCTAACTGTTTTGAATCTTCGATATAATCGGATTGGCGATACAGGAGCAACAGCTTTTGCGGAATTTTGGAATTAAATTTCTCTCTAACTTCTTTAAACCTTACTGCAAATCAAATTAGTGATAAAGGAAGAGCAGCTTTGAGTGAAGCATTATTAAAGGCTTTGAAACCAATTTCTTTTTTGACTTTGAATTAATTTTTATCTGTCTGTCCAAGTTATAATAATAGGGAGCTTGATTTATATATATATGTATATAAATGTGATAATTAGATAATATCAGCAACTTTGAAAAAAAAATTTTTAACTTTTTATATGAGATACAATATTTGAGATTAAACTTTGTCTAACTTTTTTTTGAGTAAATAAACTGAATTTTTTACCATTTTATATTGTTAAATGCATTAAAATCAAGTTTAATACTGTCAGGATCGAGGCCTAAGTACGACATATTCCTCCGTGATTTCCGCTCAAATCTCTGATTCCGCAGCACACGAAATCCAAGTAACACAGCCACGGATGTTGCCAAAACGGCCAAAAACTTGGACAAAACGTACTAGTCCGCTTATATCCAAAAATTTGGACAGATAAAAATAGATTGTCCAGATATATCCACAAATTTGGACAGATAATCTAGACGTCCGAGGAAAACTTGGACAGAGTACAAATTACCCCATTTATCCGTAAATTTGGACAGCTAGTGGAACGATAATTAGTTATAAATACGAGTCGTAGGTAATAGCTAAAATCATCGTTCCGATCATTCGAATCATATCTTCAGCAAGACGTTGCTAAATAGAATAGTTCTTTATATTCTAATA